TTCCGAACAATGCCACACACAAAAAAACCCGGAAAATATTAGAATTGACGAAAATTCAATTTTTTGGTATTTTTTCCAAAAAATTCCCCAAACTATCGGAATGTTTAGATTTTCATAAAATCAACTCGACATAGTTGCATAACAATTATATGAAAGTTTCAACGAATTTTGCTGGTTAATTGCGAAAGTGTGGAGCCACCTTATTAGAAATTAACTTAGAAATAGTCAGTCAGTAGCTTAACCTGTTTTTGACGCACACGGGGTACAATTTGTAAGGCGTACCAAAGAAACAATTATGAGAATTTGGAATCATTCATTTTTACATTTAGTTATAATATAACATTAATGCATTAAAGATTATCTTTCGGATTTGTTAGGTTTAAAGATCCCAGGACCTCAACGTCACAACCAGATGGCCTAGCCAGTGAGCGATGTACCGTAATTCGTCTCTTTAGTATAAATTCTCTTGACAACTGGCATGACATTGCCTGTGCTTATGATCGCATACCAAGCTACATTTGTGAGATGAGTTCTTCCACAGATAGTAACGGTAATAACATACGTCTATTTTCATACATACATGTCTATGTATTTATACGATAATGGATTATTTTGATTTGGATTCTTTTCACAATTTAACTATACAATATTTGTGTGTACTGTTTTATTTTGAGTGCGTTGATAAGAAATTCGATGTTAATTAACTTTTGTATATCTCTATCAATATACATATTTTACAGAAACTAATCGACAAGACATATTTCCGGCTACTACCGCAACTAGCATCACTAACAGCTCCGGTTTTCACTGTAATAATGGAGAGGACATTTCACGACAGTTTGTGTGTGATGGTAAAGGAGATTGCCGTGACAGCAGTGATGAACATGGGTGTGGTACGTTTTATGTTGATTTAGTTATTCAATATTGGCTGCATTCAATATAAAGTGATTTCTCCTGACTAGTTTGAATGATACATGTCGTAATGAGATATTCCTGATGTTTATAACAACATTGAAATTTAATGATATCTATTTTTGTTGTGACGCCATGCAAGGAGTAAGCAACACGACTTGCGCGCCGCACCAGTTCCGGTGTAATGACGGGAAGTGTATCTCTCTGAGTCTGTTCTGTGATTTCATCCCTCACTGCCAGGATAAATCCGACGAGACAAACTGTGGTATGAATTGAAAGGACGCTTTCATTACACATATTTTCCGCATCATAGAAATATATTATCACACATACAAGGATAATGATGTAAAGGTAGAATTGTTATTGATTACAGCCATGTATGTTTGATATTGGTCAACAGCACTTATGATTGTGAGTATTGCTTCAGAAATCGTTAAAAGAAAGCATTTTTTATCATGTGTCGATGTGAAATATTAAAATGTATTATTATTTTCACGTCATATATCGCTTGACTTTTTTTATGCTAACACCGAATATTACAACTGTTCTTGTTATCTTTGGGATAGTTCACCATGAGTGTGAACCAGGTGAATTTCGCTGTAAAAATGGCCACTGTCTACCGGAGCACATGGTGTGTGATCTAAAGGAGGACTGTAAGGATGGATCAGATGAAGATAAAGACGACTGCGGTATGTGTATATTTTTTCAACACACAAGGGAATAATCAGAACTAAAAATGTGAATCTTGAGCTGTCATTTTCAGAACAGAAATGTACAACCCCTATCAACATTCCATGGCAACACATTTTAATTACAAGAAGATATTTACATCTGTGTTAAAAAGGATAAAATCAATGAAAGCACTATCAATTACTGAACAAAAAAAGTTTTTGTTTTGATTTCAGAAACTTGTAGAGCTGAGAACTTCTTGTGTTACGACCAGACGTGTATTCGTGGAAGCCGACAATGTGACGGAAACATCGATTGTGGCGGACGGTTTTCAGAAGACGAAAGTCAGCAATGCGAAAGACAGCAACATTCGTCGTGCACAGATCTTCTGAGTCTAGGGATAGCGACTAACGGAGAGTACCTTGTTACTTTAGGGACAGAAAGTACGAACACTATACACATTCTACAGGACCTAATTTGATCTAACTTGTTTATTGCAATGGAAACCCTTTTTATTTAAGTTTAAGTTAAATTTTTTTATTGTTATTCTGTATAATTTAAAAAGCGAAGAACTCATGCCACAACCTATCTTTAGTTACAAAATCTGTTCTAGCATAGCATTAAATACAATTTAAAACTCGTCAGTAGATTACTTACGTCAGTCATAAATAAACAAAGGTTTCGTTTATCATTACAGCGACTGTCAGAGTAGAGTGCACGTTTTCGACATCAAACGACAAGACATCAGTAAAGACTATCGTTCACCACGACCATGAAGAATGGCGTATTGGAGTAGTCAACAACATTGATGACGTCATCGAATACAGAATTCCTATGAGTCATATTGACATTTTGAAAAAACAATACAGATGCTCTCAGAAAATAAGACTTAAATGTCACATGAGTCCTGCAGTGATCAATCAGTGGCAAGGTGGCAATGGTGTTTGGCACGATTCAATAAACGAAGGACAATTGAACGGCACCTGTTCCTGTCCGATGTTTCATAAATGTGACACACAACTAGACAGGTACAACTAACTACTTAAGATTCTTTGTTTTCACATCACAGATACGTGTTCACAAAATTTGAAATTACTATCTCGACTAATTATTCAAAATAGTAAAGTGTAGATCATTGTTTGTAAACAGAGGCGATGATCAATATAAAATCACTTTTCCGTAAAAGATTGGTGCGCTAAAAATATCCTGTGGTACGTCTTAATATACGAATACATGTGTTTATAATCACAGATACATTGCTGTTGAGTTTGTATCGTTCAAGTTTATTTTCTATTTTCAGAATGTTTTGTTTAATAAGTTTTCAAGAATTTTGTTCAATTCAATTAAATCAATCCTAATAATTGGATGACAAAAATTGAAAAAAACCCACCTGATTATCCAGTACATGGTTTGTATTACTGTTTTTTGACGAATTCGCTGTGTATCTTCTCCTAAGGTGTAACTGTACCACGGAATTCTACGACTGGTACGTGGTAGGTGTCAATGACGTGTTCGAGGACTCGGGGGATATAGCGGTGCAAGACGACCTCCCAATTATTGGCATTGCTGCAGGATTGGCTGGGGGAATATACAGCTACCTTGGGTTCAAAGTTGATCCTTTAGTCTGTGAAAACGGTGAATATGATTGTGAAAGACTTCTTTTTATTTGTTATTAAAGATTGTATTTGTATTCTTTATAATATGAACGAGTTGCTACACATCAAAATCATGTCTGATGCATTTTAAAAGTCGGTATAAATAATCTTTGAAAATGTAACAAAAACAAATATAATTGCACAGCTAGTATATATTTTACCATTTCGTAGAATTGCTCTTTAGCGATTATATGAATACTCTGTCGAAGTAGTTCCATGCATCATAGTTTTATTAATTTCTGGAATACTTTATCTATGACCAATATTTTTAAGGTGTAAATACCCGTGTGTGTGCTACGTTCACCAACTGTTTATTTCCCCATGTGCAAAGCATTTGATAAACACCTCTTGTCCCTCATGAATTGTTAACGACTTGAACATGACCATTTGCCAGTCTTTTATAATAATGATGTACCGCAACAATGCTATGCCCCGGCAAACTCCGTTATGGCGTCATGTTTCATGGCAAAAGTTTCCCTGAGCAGAAGGAGAAATCAGGCCTTTCCAAGAGAAACATTGAGTTTTTTCCAAATATAATTTGATATAAATGGTATTGGAGAAAAAAGTTTCAAAACCCATGATGATTTGTTATCATGTATATATAACTTTCTGAAACGTTCATCTAAACTAAAAGAAAAATGCACACTCGGTAGTCCTTATATCTTTTAACAATTTGAAAATTGACTTATTCTAGTAAGACAAAGATAATAACCAACCATCAATCATTCGAGAATTTATATGTAACGTACAACAACTTACTGTAACCAGCATGGCAATGAGTTAAATTATTGACGTCAACATTCTCTTCTATTTTACCGACGTGTAGTTGTTGTTGTTGTGTTTTCCAGACGAAATCGGTGAATCTGCGAGGTTTCTATGTCGGAGCGGAATATCAGTGGACAAATCAGTGTATTGTTTAATGGACTATGATGAGTACGGCGAAATCAAAGGCTGCAGAGATCTGTCTCATTTGGATTACTGTTGTAATAATCTTGTCATTTCTTTTTGATTTTGTCATTATCCTATAGCAGTTTAGCACGTTTGAAATATTATAACTAACACATTTACTACTAAAACATAATTTATACACATACAGGTGGATGTTCTGCTGTTAAAATCAAACATAGCTTATCGATATGCTGCTAATGTTATTAAAGCGGTCTAGATTGACACTAGATACGAAACGAAAATGATTTTAGTGTAAACTGAAATAATATAATAAGTCAAATGGTTTAAGCTTTCGGATTTATTGAAGTTTTGTCTTATTTGTAGCGGATTTTGAATGTCCCCCTGACTTTGCAAAATGTAGCAACAGCTATTGTATTCCTGTCCGGTTTCTATGCGATGATGAAAAACATTGTTCAAACGGGGAGGATGAAGACATGTGTGGTAAATGAAAGAAAATTAGAACGAAAATAATATTGTCCACTTTTTGTGAAATGTATAAGATTTAACATAACAAAATAGTAAGAATGACGTAATTACACATTGCTATGAGTAAAAGGGATAATTCATTTTCAAAACATTTTATCCTCGTGAATATACATAAAATCACCCTAGGTCAAAGTTGGGATAAGCATTGCCCAGTTGTAGAGGGGAAGCAACGCCTATTGAATATATACTTATCCAAATATTACATACACGTAGTTAAAATGTCACTGAATATATAATTCTTGATTCATTCTGTAGTTGAAATATCTGTGAATCGGGTTTTCTTGACAGGTAGGATTTAAACAATTTTACAGGTGCATCACTTGTCGTTTTTCATACACATGTACCTGTATATCTTTAAATGACAGGATACTAATCAACTTGTGGAAACAAGTTCCTGTATATCAATTCTATTCATTATGTTATTTTACCGATTTGTGTACGTTTTCAAGGTTTGTGTCTCTATTTAGATCGAACGTGTGTTGGCCTTTTCCGATGTCACAAGAGTGACGTATGTCTTGGTCAAGTCCAGGTGTGTGACGGGATACCGAATTGTCCAGAAGGCGACGACGAGGATTTGTGTAACGTCACATGTCCGTCAGGTTGTACATGTAACGAACTGACCGCTGAATGCAATAACATAACGGTGGCATCAAACGATACATTTGCTGTGTTTTCAAACATACGAAAACTGTCTTTTAAAGCGTCAGATTTCTCTTTGGGAATTCCGAAACTGAAAACCTATGTATTAGCAGAGTTAAATCTTTCTCGTAACTCAATCAAGCACCTCACACCGGAAAATTTCGAAAATCTCAACAATATATATACGTTAGATTTAAGCCATAATGCTCTTACAAGCATTGTGGCAGAAACTTTTCACAATCTGAGGAATCTCCGAACCCTTCACCTACACGGTAATACCGCATTGCGTTTTATTCATCCCGACGCCTTTGCAGGACTGTCAGTATTACCATCGCTGATAATCCATCAGACGTTGATTAAAAAGATAGCTAGTAAGACTTTTGTTGGTTTAGATCAGATAACAGTCCTTAATTTGACTCAAAACAGAATCACACAAGTTGAAGATTTTGCGTTTGCATCCCTTAAAGAACTCTCTGTTCTGGATATACGCAGCAACAATATCCAGGAATTTTCTGACGGCATTTTCAATGGACTCACCAATTTGAAGGAATTGTATACTGACGCATACATGTTCTGCTGTGTTAAACCAGAAACTGTCACAGACAAAAACTGCCATCCCTACCAAGATGAATTTTCCTCGTGTTCCGATCTGATGCGAGAAGACCATCTTAGATCGTTCTTATGGATCATAGGATGCCTTTCCCTGCTCGGTAACGCCGGAGTAATCATATATAAGGTGATTTATGATCGTAGAAGTCTGAAAAAAGGTCATGGAATTTTCATAATGAATCTTGGATGTGCTGACTTCTTAATGGGTGTTTACATGTTAATTATAGCTATCGCTGATACCATGTTTCGGGGTAGGTACATCTGGAATGATATATACTGGCGTAACAGTATCATCTGCAAATTTGCTGGCGTCCTGGCAACTGTGTCCAGCGAAGCGTCTGTTATGTTTTTGTTACTGATAACTATAGATCGCTTTGTGTCGGTGAAATTCGTATTCGGACAAATCCAATTCACCAAGAGGAAAGCAATGTTTACTTGCATGGGCGTTTGGCTTATCACGTGGTCTATTGCAGTTCTTCCGTTATTCCCTATAAAATATTTCAAAGGTCAATTTTATTCGAGGTCCGCTGTTTGTTTGGCCTTACCTCTTACTCGTGAATGGCCTGCCGGATGGGAGTATGGAACCGCAATTTTTATTTTCGTTAACTTCATTATTTTTATAAGCATAGCCATTGGACAAGTACTGATTTACAAGGAAGTATCTAGCACGCACGAACTGATTAAATCACAGAGACGCTCCCAGGACGCAGCCATAGCAAGGAGTCTGTTTTTAGTGGTTTTCTCGGACTTCCTGTGTTGGTTTCCCCTTGGAATAATGGGTAAGTAAAAGCATTGTCAAAAAAGACATTGATAGCAATCAGATATAGTAAAAATTGAAACTATTATTTGATTTTATTGCGTTTTCCTCTTATCACAACCCTTGAATACTATATTCAATAAAACTGATATTTTGATATTTAGCTTTAGATTTTAATACTGCCACATAATTCAGGAATATTTTCGATTAAGAACACTCCTCTCTTCCTGTTGCAGGCTTAATGGCGTTATCTGGACATCACATCCCACCAGCGGTGTACGCCTGGGCCGCCGTGTTTGTTCTACCAATCAACTCTGCACTAAATCCAATTCTATACACATTCTCCGCCATTATAAGGCAGAGGGTAGGTCTACAGGCACCATCACTTCTATATTAAATAAAATAATTTGAAAAAAATTGCTAAATATTTTTCAAGTTTAAATAAGATTGTTCTCATAACCTTTTAATGTTTTTAATCGTTTTAGGGTTGTTTTCTTAATTTTATTATCGTAACTTTCAATGTTTATCAATTATATTGCTTTCTTTTTGCTTTTAACAGAAAAACAGTCGCTATCGTGCGAGTACAAAAACAGCAATTTCTCGACTCTCAACATGTGAGTTCCCTTCCAAATCAACAAAGTGTAGCATTCCTGTTTACCTTTCTGCAAATCTTCGTTGTGTCGGTTAACGGAGTTAGATTCATATATTAATTTTAGCATCAAACTGCTTTCAGTTGGCATTCACTGTCATTGTGCCTAATTGTAACACCGAACTCTTTGAAGAACATTAGGCTGGCATTCATTCTGAAAACCATTTGAATGCAATATTATATTTACCAGTTTCGAATATATTCATCTTATAGAAATAAATAGTACCTTGATTAAGAGTCAGTACTTGATTCGAATTAAGTATTAAAGTTTGTGGTCGGTATAAACAGGACGACCATGTCTCAGGAAGTGTTAGTGGTATTCAATGTCAAGATTCAACAAGCCCCCTGAAAGAGGTTCTAGTCACCCTTAGTGTCAACCCCTTGATATTTAAAAAAACGCAATTAAAGATCGGAATTCATATATGTAATTTGAATATATTGAACTTGTACATTTGCTATTAAAATGTTCCATAGCGAGGCTAACGTAGTCAATTACAAACGCATTAAGGCTGATTTTTTAATCGAAATAGTTCACCGGACTTGTGACATGTCAGTCTCTTTAGCGACCCGATTGGGTCTATGAAATGACGTATTAAGGTTATATAGTGACATTGATAAAGAAAGGTAAACAATATGCAATATGGTGTTACATGGTTCTAAGTGCAAAGTTTATGGTAAGGCCTGAGAGATAAAACAACCTCCCCCCCCCCAAGAACAACCCACACTCCAACAACAATTGTTAGTAAAAATGAAGGTAGTTTGATAATACTAGCAAATATATCTGCATGACCGAAACCTTTTAGATATTTCAAAGCTATCACAAATATGGGGATGTTACAGACTATATATCCAAATAGGACTAACATACTCTCTAAAATAATTGTCGATTATATATGTTTCGAACACGGCAATATGTGCTTGTTAACATGTACATTGTAGTTTGTTTTGGGCTATTAATGCCCTGTCGAAGAATCCAAAAGAAGTCAAATCCAAAGAATATAAAAGAAGAAAAAACCCGAAAAAAACCCTCGTATGGTTGAATCGAATAATTCACTAGCTATTTCCAACACTTAACGTAATTCTCGTCGCCAAAAAGCACCTCTACTTCTTTGTTAATATTTTTTGTCAAACAATCGTAGTTTTTAAACTGAATTTCAAATAACCTGTTTTTTATATGACCATCACGATATAAGATACATGTTATATTTGATAATAAAATAATTTGTAACGATTGTATTATCTTGTAAAACCCGCCCACCCTAATTTTGTTATAAGTATATACTGCCACAGGCGACAAACATAATTCGAGTCATTATGTATTAAAAAATAATCTAGTATATGACTTGTTTTATTATGATCACCTGTGTCTGTGTTAATTTCATCTTTCAGCAACTTCAACACCGGAGTCAATATGGAGCGATATTTGTAACAGTGACAAGTTTATTATCGGAGCTGAATTGCCCTGTCATTTGACCCTCAAAGAATACACAAAAGAGGGTGCACCAGACGTGGGAGAGATTTACAAGATTGTAACTGACCTAGCGGGACATCTGGACTTTCTCCATAGACGTAAACTTCTCCATGGTTCTGTATCCGATGAAATGGTCATAGTAACTAGGGATAAAAATGTAAGAGACTTTTGTGGATAGTTTTAGAATCATATACTGTATGAAAACATGTTGGGTACTTAAAAGATCTTTTCGAATGAAAGTGATAATATAATTTTAAAAAACCACCCAAAAACCCCGCTTTAAAGCAGGTATCAATTGATAAACATATCAAAACGTGTTGGTAAGATGTAGAATATTTAAGACAATCACTTGAACGAAACATGAGTAGCAAATAGCACGCTGGTGTTTGTACCACAGTTACCAACTGTTTGCTTTGATTTAGTGGCATATTACACAACTAAGCCTTCATGCTTTTGTAGAAGAAGTTGAGAGCTTACAGCAGACTGGACCCAAGCGTAGTCGATGAAGAGGCACCATATGGATACCCCGACATAGAGGCAATGGGTAGAGTGGTAATTAAGCTTCTACGCTGGAATCAGAGGACATCCGGGTCTCGCCGCAAAACACGCAAAATATAATATATATCTTAAATGACATGGAAAGAACGATAAATCCGGCAAACGCCGGTGTATACAATCCTGTTTTTTGACAAAAGTAAATGTTGTAAAGTTTTCCAGGGAATTGTGTGTAAATAAGCGTTATTGTGCACTGTGCAAAGAAGGATGCTTACTTTTTAAAAAGAGTAAGTCATTGACGATATAATTGCGATGTAAATCCTTCATCATGAATGTTGTATACATACCTCAACAGACGTTTAAGCTATGTTCTGTGACAATCGCATTGTTTCATTGTCCACTATTTGTTGTGAAACGTGTACGTTTCTGCTTTTAAAGTCACTGTTCTTCTGTCCCAGTTACTGTTAGTCCGATCAATCAAGACGCTGTACAAAAGGAAACGATTGTGAAGTGATGTTATGTTCACAAACTCTATCGCGTCATCGATTTTAATATCATCTTGAGTTTTTGTTTTCGCTACACTAAATTCCACAGCTCCATCGCATGTGTAACAATTGAAAAAGTACAAAATGAAAGTTTCGTATAATAGAGAATATCTCATAGGACGTATACACTGCCTCTCTGTAATTCCTATCGGGGAAAAAAATAAAAACCTTCATTACTTCTATATATAACTTGCTCGAAGAACGTGCCTGTTTTGCATTCCATTAACTTTCTTAAGTATTTGTAATATTGCCAACACTGTTAGGGTCACAAATCATCATAATCATCATCATCATCATCGTCGTCGTTGTCGTCCATTAACATGGGACTTTGCAGCTTAAAGAAAACTAATGTTGGATGTTTTCCCTTGAATATCACCTTTTCTATTTTTGGAATAAAAGTGCTTCTTTAATTTGATTTGAAAGTTTATAGATAATGAATTTCTGTACAATTGAAATACATGTTAATATTATGTAAGAATTTTGGTTTTGCTGATATCATATTTGGAATCATTTATAAAGTGTGATGTTTTTTGTTAATAAAAACCGAAACTCCATTGTTGTTGGTACTAAACAGAGGCACGGAAAGTCCGGCTCTTTTTCATGGGTTTCTGTCTTATACATTACAATACTAACTTAAAGACGAAGGATCATTATATAAAGTCACGTTTCGAGATAACGGTAAATACATCCTAAGATGTCTACATGAAGTTTTATTTTTGAACTGAGGTGAGCAAGTATCGCAAACGAGTTACCTCCCTTCCACTATCGGTATTCCAAATTTCAACATGCATCGTTCAGTAGTTATATTGCGTTGGAATCCTTTCTTTGTGCTGTAAGGATTTTAACTAAAATTATTTCTTGTGAATAAAATCCCATAGAGTATCAAGGCCAAATATACCACCTTACACTATTTACATTTGGTACAAATCAAAATATGACCATGTTCATTACAGTAATTATATTATCAATTTATCATGGTTTTCTTTTTTCGTGGATTAATATTGTACGACAGTGAAATTGAATTGATTTCACTTAAGAAGAGAATGTTTTCAACTGACACGTTTAAAATAATAATAAGAAAATATATAGAAATTAATCACATAAAAATGCTATCTAAACATGTTTTCGATTAGGATTTAGCTTCACAACGCTAGCATCTTGGGTATTTTACAAACTCATCTGGCTACGGTTGACAGTAACGTGACGTTTCACGTTCAAAATATTGTACAGAAACGCGATGCAACGCCAGCTTATCACATGCAAAAGCAGACCTTTATAGGAAAGTCAAACAACAATTTATAAAGAAAGCACATAAGCTGAAAACTAAGGCCTATATTGCGAATTCCCTGCTGGAATACTCGCAATAAAGCGATATCTGATATAGACAGAATTTTTTAACCAAGGAAATTTTAATATTTATTGAATCGTGTAAATAACAGTATGAAGACATTGGCAAAGTACCATACGTGTCAGCTACGAACACGATCACAACCGATGCATGAACATATATAATGTCCCTATGAAAGCATTCATTTGATATTGCCCATTTCAAGCGTGCATTTTATGTAAAAAAAGTTAAATAATATCACATTTTCACATCACCTACAGTGCCTGACTCTGCTCTTTTGTTATGTCGCCTGTTTTATGTAATTGTTTAAATGTACAACATTTCCCACTTTCAAGTACTATCAGAAACCAATATATTTCCCGTAGATCGGCCAGTGGTCGCTCTGACAATGAGGATTATTCATTTTTAGATTCACTTGACATTTCATGATAAATATTCGAAAAATAAGAAAAGAAATATATCCCGTTGACATAAAACTCTTTGCTATACAACAGCAACACACAAACGAATGGTTTTCTGTACACGTATACAAGGTAAATCAACAGAAAGTTTCTAAAGTGAGTGTACCAAATCTGAATAAAAAAAACAAGTTATAAAGGATATATTATTTATATGTATTCATTGGAGTTTTGTTTCCTCTAGAGGGGACAATAATAAATATGAGCAGATATAGATCATTATATTATTCCACTTATTGCTAAAAAATAGATAATCTAAAATAAGTTTTAATGAAATTATAGAAACAACAGGATATCCTGATTTAACATTGGACATGAATACTTCATTGATTTGAATTGAAAGATACATGTTTATTTCTGTCATAAGTATTATCATCAAACAATTTCGATTCTCTGAAGAGGATATTGAATCAAATAACGGTTTTGTGAACGACAATTCCAAGCGAATGGGGATTATTTATCGCTATAGTTGAAAAGTTACCTCCCTTGTCATGTCAAATGTCCAATAACAAAATACAAGTGTAAATCTATTGGTTTCAAACGGCAGGTCTGGCAATAACCAAACGTAAAACCCGTAATTATTCCATGATGTTAAGATCAGGTTCACTTGACATAAATGAATATAACTAATGTAGAATGTCAATCTGTTGTGTTAGCCCTGTAATTGCATGTACGTATTGACTGTATCAGTCATCATATTATGCGTTTCTTATTTAAACCAAATAGCTAATATGAAAATTAAATAATAATTTTCGTTCATATCATATACAGGATATACCGCAGATGTGCCGCTTTAACAGTAATGTATATTATACAATACTAAGTATAACAACAGTACTGTGTAACGTACACTGAATATAAGTATAACAACAGTACTGTGTAACGTACACTGTTTATAAATATAGCAATAGTACTGTGTAACGTACACTGATTATAAGTATAACAACAGGACTGTGTAACGTACACTGATTCTAAATATAACAACAGGACTGTGTAACGTACACTGATTATAAATATAGCAATAGTACTGTGTAATGTACACTGATTATAAATATAACAACAGGACCGTGTAACGTACACTGATTATAAATATAGCAATAGTACTGTGTAACGTACAATGATTAAAAGTATAACAACAGGACTGTGTAACGTACACTGATTATAAATATAACAACAGGACTGTGTAACGTACACTGATTAGGAGTATAACAACAGGACTGTGTAACGTACACATATTATTAGTATAACAACAGTACTGTGTACCGTACACTGATTATAAGTATAGCAATAGTACTGTGTAACGTACACTGATTATAAATATAACAACAGTACTGTGTAACGTTCACTGTTTATTAGTATAACAACAGTACTGTGTAACGTACTCTGATTATAAGTATAGCAATAGTACCGTGTAACGTACACTGATTATAAGTATAACAACAGTACTGTGAAACGTACACTGATTATAAGTATAACACCAGGACTGTGTAACGTACACTGATTATAAATATAACAACAGTACTGTGTAACGTTCACTGTTTATTAGTATAACAACAGTACTGTGTAACGTACTCTGATTATAAGTATAGCAATAGTACCGTGTAACGTACACTGATTATAAGTATAACAACAGTACCGTGTAACGTACACAGATTATAAGTATAACAACAGTACTGTGTAACGTACACTGAATATAAGTATAACAACTGTACTGTGTAACGTACACTGATTATAAGTATAGAAGCGTACACCGTATATAAATGTAACAAAGTTACAGATTAAAGTGAACTAAAGTAAATATAACAATAGTAATGTGTAACGTACACTGATTATAAGTATAATAACAGGAATGTGTAACGTACACTGATTATAAGTATAATAACAGGAATGTGTAACGTACACTGATTATAAGTATAATAATAGTACTGTGAAACGTACACTGATTACAAGTATAATAACAGTACTGTGTAACGTACACTGAATATAAGTATAACAACTGTACTGTGTAACGTACACTGATTATAAGTATAGCAACAGTACTGTGTAACGTACACTGATTATAAGGATAACAACAGGACAGTGTAACGTACACTGATTATAAGTATAATAACAGTACTGTGTAACGTACACTGATTATGAGTATAACAACAGGACTGTGTAACGTACACATATTATTAGTATAACAACAGTACTGTGTACCGTACACTGATTATAAGTATAGCAATAGTACTATGTAACGTACACTGATTATAAGTATAACAACAGTACTGTGTAACGTGCACTGATTATAAGTATAACAACAGTACTGTGTAAGGTACACAGAATATAAGTATAACAACAGTACTGTGTAACGTACACAGATTATAAATATAGCAATAGTACTGTGTAACGTACACTGATTATAAATATAGCAATAGTACTGTGTAATGTACACTGATTATAAATACAACAACAGGACTGTGTAACGTACACTGATTATAAACAGTACTGTGTAACGTACACTGATTATAAGTATAGAAGCGTACACCGTATATAAATGTAACAAAGTTACAGATTAAAGTGAACTAAAGTAAATATAACAATAGTAATGTGTAACGTACACTGATTATAAGTATAATAATAGTACTGTGAAACGTACACTGATTATAAGTATATAGCAATAGTACTGTGTAATGTACACTGATTATAAATACAACAACAGGACTGTGTAACGTACACTGATTATAAATATAACAACAGTACTGTGTAACGTTCACTGTTTATTAGTATAACAACAGTACTGTGTAACGTACTCTGATTATAAGTATAGCAATAGTACCGTGTAACGTACACTGATTATAAGTATAACAACAGTACTGTGAAACGTACACTGATTATAAGTATAACACCAGGACTGTGTAACGTACACTGATTATAAATATAGCAATAGTACTGTGTAATGGACACTGATTATAAATATAACAACAGGACTGTGTAACGTACACTGATTCTAAATATAACAACAGGACTGTGTAACGTACACAGATTACAAGTATAACAACAGGACTGTGTAACGTACACTGATTAGGAGTATAACAACAGGACTGTGTAACGTACACATATTATTAGTATAACAACAGTACTGTGTACCGTACACTGATTATAAGTATAGCAATAGTACTATGTAACGTACACTGATTATAAGTATAACAACAGTACCGTGTAACGTACACAGATTATAAGTATAACAACAGTACTGTGTAACGTATACATATTATAAGTATAACAACAGTACTGTGTAACGTGCATTGATTATAAGTATAACAAGTGTACTGTGTAACATACACTGATTATAAGTATAACAACAGGACTGTGTAACGGACACTGATTATAAATATAGCAATAGTACTGTGTAATGTACACTGGTTATAAATATAACAACAGGACTGTGTAACGTACCCTGATTATAAGTATAATAACAGTACTGTGTAACGTACACTGATTATGAGTATAACAACAGGACTGTGTAACGTACACTGATTCTAAATATAACAACAGGACTGTGTAACGTACACAGATTATAAGTATAACAACAGTACTGTGTAACGTACACAGATTTTAAGTATAACAACAGTACTGTGTAACGTACACAGATTTTAAGTATAACAACAGTACTGTGTAACGTACACAGATTTTAAGTATAACAACAGTACTGTGTAACGTACACAGATTTTAAGTATAACAACAGTACTGTGTA